TGTCTAGTTCCATCCATTTACTAAGAATTTCATGAAGTCATTGTTTTTAATAACTGAGTAGTGCTCTGTTGTGTAAATGTACCACATTTCCTGTGTCCATTTCTCTGTTGAAGGACATCTGGGTTCTTTGCAGCTTCTGACTATTATAAATAAGGCTGCTATGAACATAGTGGAACTTGTGTCCTTGTTATTTGTTGGAACATCTTTTGGGTATATACCCAGGAGTGGTATAGCTGGGTCCTCAGGTAGTACTATGTCCAATTTTCTGAGGAACCGACAGACTGATTTCCAAAGTGGTTGTACCAGCTTGCAATTCTGCCAACCATGGAGGAGTATTCCTCTTTCTTCACATCCTTGCTGTCATCTGAGTTTTTGATCTTAGCCATTCTGACTGGCCTGTGGTGGAATCTCAGGGTTGTTTTGATTTGTATTTCCCTTATGACTAAGGATGTTGAACATTTCTTTTTTTTTTTTTTTTTGGTTTTTAGAGACAGGGTTTCTCTGTGTAGCCCTGGCTGTCCTGGAACTCACTCTGTAGACCAGGCTGGCCTCGAACTCAGAAATCCGCCTGCCTCTGCCTCCCAAGTGCTGGGATTAAAGGCATGCGCCACCACTGCCCGGCAAAATGTGTAGCCCAGGCTGGCCTCGAACTCGTGATCCTCCTGCCTCTGCCTTCTTCAGCAAATCCTACCGGTGTGCGCCACCACTACCGTCTGAACATTTCTTTAATAGGTGCTCTTTGGACATTTGATATTCCTCAATTGAGAATTCTTTGTTTAGCTCTGTACCCCATTTTTTATGGAAAAAATAATTATTTTATTTATTCTTTGATAACATCATAGTTTATTTTGATCATGCTTCCCCTGTACCCCAGCTCCTCTCAGATCCATCCTTCCACCTCCACTCTATGTACACTCAACCCCTCAACCCTCTCCTCCTCCTCCTTCTTCTTCTTCCTCCCCTTTCTCTCTCTGTTTCTCTCTCTCTCTCCTCAATGAGTCCAGTCTGTGTTGCCCATCTAGCCTGAGAAGCAGGGTATAGAGTATGGTTGACCTACCAGGAGTCACACTTCTAAAGAAAATGGACTCTCCTAGCAGATATCAAATGCCAGTAATTGCTCGGCTTATAGTGACATCCATGCCCACCTCCACTTTCCATGCTGGGATTCTTTCTTACTTGATCTTGAACAGGCTTATGCATATTGTCACAACCTCTAGTCCATATGTGTCTATCCTGTTGTGTCTGGAAAAGGGTTCCCTTGAAGTTATCCATCACCTCTGGCTCTTCAGATTTTCTGACCCCTCTTCTGTAAAGATGCCAAGACTTTCAGGGAGGGGTGTGGACATCTCACTGGTGACTGAGGACTATAGTTTCTCATCTATTCTTGTTCACCAGTTGAAGGTCTCAATATTAATTGCCATCCACTTCAAAAGAAAGTTTCTCTGATGAGGGCCAAATGATATTGTGATCTCTGAGCATAGCAACAAGCCTTTAGGTATCATTTTCATACTGTGTCCATTTGGCACAATAATAGTGTTGAGTTCTCCCTAAGGCCAATGACATATCCAACCATAGATTCTCAGCCATGTCAGTGGCAGGCATGGGTTTCATCTATGGACCAGGCTTTAGATCCTATCAGAAAGTAGTTGGTTACTTTGACAACATTCTTGTCAGTATTTCACTGGTGGGCATTTCTTGTCAGGGTGGTCATTATTTTAGATTACAAGACGAGGTTTAGATTACTCTTCTCCAGCAGTATTCATAACACAGGGCCGTGACCAGTTCCTCACTGAAGAGTCTTTCTCTCTGGAAACCAGTTGAGCTGCCATTTGAAGGAAACCACCACACAAACTTAGTTCAGAATCAATGGTAACTCAACCGTTGTGCACAACAACTAGAATCCTAATCTTGTAAGCCATATTAAATCTAAATCCTCTGGTGGTGAATACTGGTGCTCCCCATCTAAACCAGGAGTCACTTGTAGCTACATCTTGTCCTCCCGCTGTCACTGTCAAAAAGCTCTGTACACCATTTTTTAAGGGTTATTTTGTTCTCTGGAGTTTATCTTGAGTTCTCTATCAGATGTAGGGTTGGTAAAGATCTTTTCCCAATCTGTTGGTTGCTGTTTTGTCCTATTGACTGTGTCCTTTGCCTTACAGAATCTTTGCAATTTTATGAGGTCCCATTTGTCAATTGTTGGTCTTAGAGCATAAGCCATTGGTGTTCTATTCAGGAAATTTTGCCCTGTGCCCATGTGTTCAAAACTCTTCCCCACTTTTTCTTCTATTAGTTTCAGCGTATCTGGTTTTAAGTGGAAGTCTTTGATCCACTTGGGCTTGAGCTTTGTACAAGGGGATAAGAATGGATCTATGTGCATTCTTCTGTATGATGACTGCCAGTTGAATGAGCACTATTTGTTGAAAATGCTGTCTTTTGTCCACTGGATGGTTTTAGCTTCTTTGTCAAAGATCAAGTGGCCATAGGTGTGTGGGTGCATTTTTGGCTCTTCAATTCCATTCCATTGATCCATTATATAAACAAACTCAAAAGAAAAAAAAAACATATGATCATCTCATTAGATGCTGAGAAAGTGTTTGACAAAATTCAACACCCCTTCTTGGTCAAAGCCTTGAAAAGATCAGGAATTCAAGGCCCAATACCTAAACATCGAAAAAGCAACATGTAGCAAAGCAGTAGCCAACATCAAACTAAATGGAGAGAAACTTGAAGCAATCTCACTATAATCAGGAGCTAGACAAGGCTGCCCACTGTTTCCCTACCTATTCAATATAGTACTCAGTGTCCTAGCCAGAGCAATTAGATAACAAAAGGAGGTCAAAGGGATAAAAATTGGAAAGGAAGAAGTCAAAATATCACTATTTTCAGATGGTATTATAGTATACTTAAGTGACACCCAGAATTCCACCAGAGAACTCCTGAACCTGATAAACAACTTCACCAATGTGGCTGGATATAAAATTAATTCAAACAAATTAGTAGTCTTCCTCTGCTCAAATGATAAACAGGCTGAGATAGAAATTAGAGAAATGATACCCTTCACAGTAGTCACAAATAGTATAAAATACCTTGGTGTGAATCTAGCCAAGCAAGTGAAAGATCTGTATGACAAGAGCTTCAAGTCTATGAAGAAAGAAATAGACGATTTCAGAAGATCGAAAAATCTCCCATGGTCATGGATTGGCAGCATTAATGTAGTAAAAATGGCCATCTTGCCAAAATAAATCTACAGATTCAATGCAATCCCCATCAAAATGCCCACTCAATTTTTTATAGAGTTAGAAAGAGCAATATCCAAATTCATTTAGAATAACAAAAAACCCAGGGTAGCAAAAACTATGCTCCACAACGTCTGGAGGAATCACCATCTCTGACCTCAAGCTATAGTGCAGAGCAATAGTGATAAAAACTACATGGAATTGGTATAATGACAGACAGGTAGATCAATAGAATTAGGTTTGTAAGAACCAGCCAGATCAAGTTGTTTGTTACTTGACACTTAGTTTTAGGATTTAATCACAACAATTCTAATGTGCAAGTTACAAAAATAAAATGCTAAGTAAAATATGAATTTGCTTCTGGACAGAAACTGGATATGTTGTCATTTGCATTTATATTGAAAATATAGGATCTTTAGATGGCATAAAGCATTGAAGCCTATATTTATCTTAATTAACTGTCCTTGTAGAACCCTGAAGATTGGCATGTTAAGAGTAATACATACAAAAGAAATCAATGTCATTGGATTTCAGTGGAAAATAGATTTCCTAAAAACTTAAGCTACAGGTTTTTTGTGTGATATTTTGCCCTCAAATCCTTCTCATTCTGCCCATGACCTGGGATATTGAGTAGGGCAGTGTTAAACAGTAAGGGGCTGATTTCCTAGGTGGAATAATAAATTTTTAGGATGGTTATTACTAGTATCTCATTGAGGAGAACAGTGAAATAACTCAAGAAGTGGGTTAGAAGTGAAAGTAAATTTGTGGGTTTTAGAGAGGAATAACATCAGGTAGCTAGTTTCAGATGACCCTCAAGTGCTGAAACAAAAGCATGAATTGAAATCTTAGAAGTTGCCATAACACTCCTGCTAACCCTCCAATTAATGGTGGGAGTAAGCAATGTGTTTCCTAGTCCTGGTAAACAACTTGAGGCAAAACCTGCTACAACTGTGGTCTACCTACAGTGGGATCCATCCTGATTTGGAAGCCAAAGTCAGCATGACCACTTATGTCTTGTGGGGTCTGGAAACAAGAATGATTCAAAATTTAAGGTGAAGGATTTAATTTAAGGTCTGTGGTTTCAGTTCAACACAGTTCCAGCCATCTCTGTTCCTTAAGGTCAGTGCCCCAATATCAAGCCTGGATGAGTGAGTTCAATGCTTGAAGCTATGAGGATGAATCCTCAGTTGCAGTTTTTGATCACAGAATATTGAGATACACAACATAAGAGACATTTTCTATAGAGAGCTGCATATACAGAGTGGAAGTAACCAAACCAACAGATGTATGAGAAGTTGCTTCTTAAAATTGAAGCCACGGGCCAGGCAGTGGTGGCACATGTCTTTATTCCGAGCACTTGAGAGGCAGAGGCAGGTGGATTTCTGAGTTCGAGGCCAGCCTGGTCTACAGAGTGAGTTCCAGGACAGCCAGGGCTACACAGAGAAACCCTGTCTCCAAAAACCAAAAAAAAAAAAAAAATGAAGACACCTGTGTCTGAGATAGAGTCACAGGACTTGCTGTTTATCCTGCTGGCTATCTAGCCATGTTCCATCCACCCAATGTACCCAATCCTGTCTATTAGAATGGGAAAGGGCATTCTGTGACCTAATATGACTTGGTAGCTACAGTAGAGCTTCGGACTTCAGTGTAAGGAAATAAGTGGGGCAGGCCCCAGAATTATATGAATACATTGTCTATGAAGAAGACATGCCCAGTGTTGTCTCTATTGTGCTTTCTTTTGTACTCGTGTATGTGACATTCTAGAGTGCAGTGACTTATGAGGACGTGCATGTGAACTTCACTCAGGAAGAGTGGGCTTTGCTGGATCCTTCCCAGAAGAAGCTCTACAAAGATGTCATGCTGGAGACCTACAGGAACCTCAGTGCTGTGGGTAAGACTGTGAACTCCCTTTCCTGATTAAAATTGGAGAAAACAGTTTTTTTCCTTTGATGTACTTATGTAATCCAATTGTGATGGATGCAGAATTTGGTATAGAAATCATGCATGACTCAAATGTTCACTGAAGGTAGTAACTTACATTCTGCATAGTGTCCATACATACATTTTCTGTTACTCTATTTTAGGATTTAATTGGGAAGATGAAAACTTTGAAGAATGTTGTCAAAGATCTATAAGATTCAGAAGGTAATTTTCATGTGGAAGCTCCTACAAATATGCCTTTGAATAAATTTTAAAATGTGTGAAAGTTTTAAGGAAAAGCAAGAGTGTAAATAACCACAGCTTTGAGTGTATTGATGATTGTTACACTCTAACAAAACTATGGTCCTCAGTGCCCTATATCTGATTTGTTTTTGCAAGGCATTCCTTTAAGAAAGAGGGCATGGAAACAATGCCTTAGTGTGTATCTCCATTTGAAACATAGCCCTATTAGAGCAACACTGTACAACTGGCAGTCTGTTTCTGCTTATTTTGTAAAAGCTATACACATTGAATAGTTGATAAATACATGTTCAAAAACTTCTAAGAAGGAAATAGTCTATAGTAAAGCTAATGTTGCTCATTTATTAGTAGTGACTTTGCTAAGTTTATTGAGATGGGCAGCTTATTGGAAGGAAGAAGGATGTTGTGCAGTAACCTTCATCTCTACATCACATAACTGTGAGGAACAAAAAATCAAACCTTGTGAATGCAATGTTCAAACTTTTTCTTTTTAGTCTTCCTTTCATAAGTATGTAATATATCATAATAGATACAAACTGTGAATACAAAAGGGATATTGAAGGAAACAACAT